TCGTATGACAACATCATATGATATGACATCATTTGGCATGACATGAAATCCTATCACATCACTTCACATTATATCACATGAAATCACATCAAATTGTATCGCATTAGCTGACATCACATCACATAACATTTTATCACGTCATCGCACCTCACATCTAGGCGAATATGTAGATGAATAAAAAGATAAAAGCAAAGATATAAAAGATAAAAAACAAAGATGAAGACTAAGGTGAATTTAAACATTTTACTTTTATAAGAAAAATGAAGTATAAAGATAAAGGAAAAGAAAACAACGGAACAACGTAAATGCAATTAGAACGTAAAGGATAGAGGTAGGAGTAAAGATAGAAAAAAGATAAAATATATTTTTAAGCTTATAACATTATATTAACTAGCCTGTCGTTTTATTCACAATTTTGAACCAAGGAAATGCATATGTATGTAGACTAAATACATATGTAACGTAGGTTTCACTTTTTCAGTGTGGCCCGCTTGCCTTTTTTTCTTAAGAAATTCTTTACTTCAGAGACTTGTAGTAATTTTTTCATTGAGAATTTTAACTCCTTAACTCCAACCGTTATGAATCCTTTTAGCCTTATTTTGAGGTAGTTTCGGTGCTGGATATAGAATTTTGAAGTGTATTTTAAAAATGCTAAAATCAGTTTAGCAAACAAGTAAAATCAAATACATATTTTAGTATGAATATCAAACGAGGAGGGTTAAAAGGTCTTTATTTTGAAATGATTTTCAAAGAGGGTTACCATATGTTTATGAATACAGAGTCAATTTAATTAAGAAATTAAATGAAATATTTAAATGTGGGTATCAAACGAGAGAACTTCAAAAAAAGCTTTATTTCCAAAATAATTTCAGTGAGGGTTGCCAATTGTTTAGAAGTTTATGGCAATTTAGTTAATAAATTAAATTCAATAGTTAATATGGGTATCAAACAAGAGAGGTTTAGAAAGCTTTATTTCAAAATCAATTTAATTGATAAATTGCGTGCAATATTTTATTATGGGTGTCAAATTAGAGCGGCAGAAGCATGCTTTATTTATAAAATGCTTTGGAAGGGAAAGGTCTAAGTAAGCTTTATTTATCAAGAGGCTTACCACCACTCCAAAAACTCCAGTTCAGTTTAATGAGAGTTTAAATGAAACATTGCATTACGGGTGTCAAACGAATTAAGTTAATGATAGCTCTTTTTAAACAAATATTTTCGAAGAGGGCTATAACCTATTTTAAAGGCCCAATTTAATTTGATCGCTTAATTAATTGAAACATTTCATATATGTATGCATCTTACATATTTACACAAAATTCTTTTGAAAGTATTTTATAGAAGAGTTGCCAATTTCAAAAATATATGTATGTAAATAAATTTTTTTACTTTTTTGTTATGTCCCGAGATTTAATCTGTATCCCAAAATACCGGTTTCTATTGGAGCGCCATCATTTGTATAGTGTGATTCAATACCGGAGAAGTTCACTATAGGGCCATTGTTTCATGCGCTGTGTGGCAATTGGCACCTTATTTTTTGAAACCACATATTGCCAATCCCAGTCATTTAATTCAGGCCATAAAAGTTGGTGATAACGTCCGTTCACCGTACCTCCGTGACCAGCACCATTTTCGAAGAAGTGCGGTCCGTTTACTCAGCCAGCCTCAACAGCACATTAAACAATGGACTCGTTGTAGGTGCATAGTATTTTTCTAGTAGTGCGCTCAGTTTTGCTTGTTAGGGATCTGTTTAGGTGAAAATGTGCCTCATCGATCATGATCATTTTTTTTTTTTGATCGGCATCAACGTTTGGGTCACTTAAACGCTAAGTTTCCCAAAGCCTGGAGTACAAAGTGCCCGAAAACAAAAACACATTCAAGTTAATGTCAATGTTAAGTTTATTCCATCTATGCAAAGTATGTGTGTACACAGCTCTCGTTGCAAAATACTTAAAACGTCCTTCGCATTTGCTTACAGTTAACGGAAAAGTAAACAATACTAAACCAAAGTATACCAGCTTTCATACTCAACTTCAGTCAGAATAAACACCAGCAACAAGAAAATCACAAAACGTCTCGGTTAGCACTTTTGCTAGCTCTAACTATTTAACCACCATTTAACCCAAAGAATTTTCCAATCAACATAGAAAACCTTATTAAACATAGTAACAAATATTGGGCGTTAAGCGGCCTCCGGTATGTTTTGCTTCATTAATCCTTTTCTGTATTTTTCATGTTTTCCCACCCTCCGCAGAACTTTACACTTTTTTCTTATCTTGGCTGAAAATATTCTTCTGCCAATAGCATGATGGAGCGAAAATACGGGAAAATAAAATGCGGAAGTGCTACCCATGCATACTTTTACAAACATACTTACTTATGTATGTATGTGTTTACACATTTTCAATTTCCCCCTTCAAAGTCAGTGTTAAAACTCATCAGCTCCTATGCAGCAGCCATTTTGATGACGGTTAATTTAGTGATGGCAAAGGGCAGGCGAGGAAGAAAGCTTGACCTAGCAGTTAGATATACTATGTACATACATACATATATACATTTTGTTTAAAACTTTTGGAATTTTTAATTAGTGCCAATAATAGCAGCAGCGTAGCAGGAAAGTGGGAAACGCAGCCGTAGGATGTGAAATCGATATTTTATAGTCGGACGTTGCGTATGAGCAACATTTACCGGGCTGGCGTTGGAGAGTATCAATAGAAGCGGAGCTTTTTTGTTTTTTTTTTTTGTTAGGTTTGTCTAACTGCATTAGGTTTTGGATTTCTTGTGTTTTTTGAGGTAGCTTTTGCTTGTTTTGTTTGTTATTAAGTCAAAGTTTGATTTAAATTGAATTTTTCGAAGTTTGTTGTTTGACACCTGTAAGTTGGTCTTCTACACTTAGCACTTCGCGTCATTTCAATAGCTTTAGGTATGTATGTTGCAGAGCTCTTGATCTTTCTAAATGGTTTTGGCAATACTGTTGTCTTCTCTTTGGTAATGCGGGAACCATTACGATGCGGGTATGTTTACTTTAAAAATACTAATAAATATATTTACTTTACGGATACATATATTGCTGCGAATTCAAATATTTTTAAGAATAGGAATACGGTAAATGTAACGGTTATGGTTACGTTATAGTTATGGTTAAGGATGTACCTACGGCTCTAGATAAATAATGATGATACATAGTATACATAGCTTTCCAATAAAAAGTAAAACCTGTACATACATATATAAAAGAGAAGTTGTATAACTAGATCTCAAGAGGGTCACCATCTGTTTAAAAAGTTAAATTTAATTAAATTAATAGGATTGATCAAATATCGCAGTAGGGGTAAAAATGGCAAAGGGCTTAAGAGAGCTAATTTTAAAAAATATTTTTTGAATAGGGCTGCCACCTGCTTAATATTTTAAATTCAATTAACTTCATTACGGAAAAGAAATATTACAATAGGGGTTTCTACCGAAAGAGATTTAAGATGACTGTCCAAAATATTATAAAGAAGGTTGCCACCTTCTAAAATAATTAAATTCGAATAATACTATATATCTATCTATTTATCAAATACCGCAGTAGGGGTAAAAATGGCAAAGGGCTTAAAAGAGATAATTTTAAAAAATATTTTTTTAATAGGGTTGCCACCTGCTTAATATATTAAATTCAATTAACTTCATTACACAAAAGAAATACTACAATAGGGGTCTCAACCGAAAGAGATTTAAGATCACTGTCAAAAATATTATAAAGAAGGTTGCCACATGCTAAAATAATTAAATTCGAAAAATTATATATATTCATATCTAAAGTAAATTCGCTTAAATTTGAAATCGTAAAAAAAATTAAATTCATTTAAGGTAAATTAATCACTTCAATACAAGTATCAATCGAATAAAATTTAAATTTAAAATGCTGCACTTTTGAACTACATGTTGGAGGGTTGCCAACTGTCTAATAAATTAATTCCAACTTGAATTAAGGGAACTAGGAATTAAGGAATGAAGTAAGTATGTATCACAAGATGGGTATCACATGGAATAAGTTAAAGAAAGTTGCAGACTGAAACCATTTTAAAGAGGGTTTTCAACTGTTTAAAAAGTTTAGTTCAATTATTGTAATCAGTAAAGGAATTATTATTTTATGGTTATCAATCGATATAGTTTTGAGTAGGCTATTTTCTAAACTACATTTAGGAGGGTTGCCACTTGGTTAAAAGTCAAATTCAAATTGAAATAGGAAAATTAGATTTCTTTGAACATTTAAAGTGTTTAGAGGTTTGAAAGGGTTGCCACCTATTTAAAAATCAAATTCAATGCAAATTATTTAATATGTTAAATGAATTATTACAATATGGATATCAATCAAAATGTTTTTGAAAAGTCTTTATTTTCCAAACTATGTGTACGAAAGTTGCCAACTGTTTTAAAAGTAAAAATCTCCATATGTTGCGTTTTATTGAAATAAATTACTTTTTATGTAACATGCAGAAATTTCATACACTCGGCGAAGCGGGTGAGAGAAAACTAATGTTTTTAATATAATTTCCTCAGCTCCATTATAGGCATGTATTTATGTATCTTTTCGTAACGGAAATGATTTTGTTTGCAGCACTTTTTCCACAAAACGCCTGAAGTATTTAGCCACGAACGAATTCTACACATATATGTATGTACACGAATACCAAAAGTTCGCTCAGCAATTGTAGCAATAAATTACTATTTGTGTAGTGTTACTATTTTGCCCTTTTCTTTGTTATATTTTAAAGAACCGCAAATACTTATTTGTTTATATACTTGTATCATATTTGTTGTTGTTTTTTTTTTACATGGTATTCACTTTCTTTCATGGTATTTCACTTTTTTTTCTTTACTTGATCATCAACATTATTGGTTATTCTAACTTCTATTTACCACAAAACTTTTTATCATACACACATACATGCATATTTACCCAACTATTCTCCAATTTACAACTTCCCGTCATTTTTCTTTCACTCTCACTGCAGACCCGATGTCTATATTCTAACCATCACCCAAATGCTGCAATACATGACCGACCCAAAGGAGTTGCGTGACATCAACACCATCGAATCATGGAAGTGCGACAAAAGCGTTGCTGTTGCACCAAAGCCATGCAACATTTGGAATACCTGTGCGCTGCCCTTCAAGATACCCGAACAGAATGTAACGGACACACGCTACATGGAGACTTGCCGCGAATGTCCCAATGTCTATCCATGGTTGGGTGATGCCGGTGGTACTGGCATTTCAGGACGTGACAATTACATTTTCTCTGGGCCAGCGAGCGCTGGCGATGGCGAGGGTGATGATGCTGGCAGTGATGATGAGAATTAGAGCGCAATGGAGGATAGTAGCAGCAGTGCAGTACGTATGTATGTATGTAGGTGGTTGAAAAGGTGCGCTAAGCTAGTGTAAGCTGTAATCAACCTAAAAAGTTTTAAGGGTCAGGTGACAAGTGTCAACTGACAGCTGCTGTTAACTGTCAATTGCCAACTACATACATACATACATGAGTGTGAAGTGTTTTGTGTTTACCTTTGTAGTTTTGTGTTTGGTTTTGTTATCTTCTATAGGTATTTTTTAATTTGTTAAATTTTCCATCATTTATTAAATGTGCCAATTAGTGTTTACAAAACAATTTTACTGTTATCCCTGCTTTAATGTCTCTTCTTGAACGTACTTTTATCAAAATTGTTTTTAATTTAATTTTGTTTCTCAAAATACTCAGCCTTTTGCCTTGTTTTAGTTTATAAGCCATGAAATCGTGTCAATCGTAGACATTAAGCAAATATAAGCAAAATAAATTTCTGTTTTAAATAAGAAACTGACTATGAATGAAAACAGGTGATGTTTATTTACTACAAAAGCTATGCTGTATTTTTACTGTAAGTATGTTTGTAGATAATTGCATTTTCTTCCAGGTTTCCTGTTTGAATCATAGGGAAAATTTAGGGTCTACAAAAAATATAAAAATTCACCCGATTTTTTTATATTTTTTAATTATAATTATTTGTTTATAAAAATGTAGTATATTCTTTGACAAAAACCATATAAACACAACATGTGCAACATTTAAATAAAATCAAAAAAAAACTTTCGTAAAAATGTTGAGCTTTTTAATTCGATTTTTAAGAAATATTGCTAGTATGCAGTTGTACGATCCATTACTGTTATAAAGTGAAAGTTTCAAGCATCTACAAAATATCGTTGATTTTTGAAATTTTTTTTTTTTTGATGAAGGTGTTGCTCATTTTGTCCATATATATACTTTTGTATGGACGCAAATGACTGACATCCTCAACCAAATCAACGGTAAGTCCCAGCAACTTTAAACTTGCACTTTGGTGTACTAGAATTGAATGGGCTACCAAACTGCATACTCAGTTTTTTTATTTCATAAAAAATCTCCACCAACTCATCATAATTATTTTTTTTTTACTGTGAGTCAAAATCTCTACTTTTTGTTCGAAAATCCATTTATAAAATATGCCATTTTAAGTTTAACACAACTTCGATCAAAAATATTGCCTTAGCAGATCTAAAATGGAACATTCAAGCCATTACCTCCTACTAGAGAGCCGTTCTACCCAATATGGCCAAATTTTTACAAAATGATAGTTATATGGTTAAAATTTTCTACAAAAATATAGAGCAGCAAATTTTACTAGAAGCCACCGAAGACGAAAATCTCCTGCGGAATAAGGGAGTAGACGAAATACTGAATGTTTCATGAGAAATAATAGAACTAATTCCAAAAAAAGTAAAACTTTAAAAGGAAACCCCCGATTTTTATGCTTAAAGGAATTTATGATAAAATAAGATGCCTCGAGATTTTTGAGTTTTCTTTTTAGACTTCAAGGTATTTAGGGATTTCTTTGGGCTACTTAAGAATTTTTTTCGGAATTCTTCGTATCTTGCTGTTCAGGACATTTTGAAATTATTTGTTTTTATTTTTTGGTATGTTTCGTAATTTGTTAGGACTTTTCGGGAGTTCTTCTGGAAGCCATCTCCACATCACCCCTAGTTGCAGATGTCTCTCTTTGGTCGGGTTTATCGGGTTGTATCCAAGACGTTTTTCATTTGGGATTATCCTATTGGATGCATTTCTCATCTCCAGTGACCATTCGATGCAAAAAAAAAATTTCCTTATTCGTATTTTAAAAGAGGGTTTTTTCGCTTCCCGCTGTTTGACACCAAACCTTGCACTTTCAATCTGCTACAAAATAATACTTTAACCTAAATAATAAGAATACAATGATTTTTCCAGCAATGCTACAAAGAACTATTGTCATGAATACGTTCGGTCACTCTTGGAGAGACAGTGCTTGAATACTCCAGTGAGGCCGAAAATCCATGGGCAATGCCATTTAGATAAGACACTTAATTGGAACCCCATCTTGAAAAACTGGCGTCTTGGAAGAGCGTGGGGATCGAACTCAAGGCTGATGGGGTCGCTGGAAACTAGAAAAAAACTGCCATACTACGTCTCAACGAGCTGAAAATATTGGCATATCTATTTGAAACTGAATCAATGAGAACTGGCTCAACTGCAGCTCTAGACTCGCTTTGAGAATGGACTTCTCATCATATTTTTATTCAATCAACAGCAGCTATGAGAGAGCTGCGGTTTCGACTCTCATACTACTGCTTCATGCAAGGAATCTTGGGATGATACCATGGTTGGAAATATGGGAAATTTCTGGTTCCATAACTAACGAGATCTGCTTTGACAAAGAGTTCCTGCTGAAAATCCCACATCGCCAAGATTGGACAAACGGGCCCTTGACCGCAGGAACACGAAGGTTCTCAAATATGTAGAGAATAGAGCAGGTGCAGGTTTTTACCGACCTGGTGCGAAACTTGTGTTTTGAATGAATTATTAGCAATCTAATCCTCGAAAGAGGTCTCATCTTAAATTTCGTCAGCTGAAAATGTAGTTACACTGTGCAATGACGACGCTGATGGGTTGGCGCGATAAAAATCTTTAACTGTATTTTCAGAGTCTCAGTTGCTCCTCTTCAAGAACTATAATTACTCAGTGGGTACAATCTGAACGCAGTGAGTACTGGAATGTGGCGTGCGGCCATAAGCAGGCCAGGCTTTTCGGCTATTCTTTTACTGGAAAGAATAATATTCTATTTAATATAAATGGCATCAAGCTACTCTCTAGGTATCCAACTGATCACAAAAGACTACGATTTCCATGCAACGAATAAGTGTGCAAGCAGAGTTGGAATGCCGACTCTGGCTTGAGGATGATGAGACTTCGGAACACATTTTTGGCCTAGGTCAAATAAAGATTAATTCAGCATTAAAACTTCAAGGATCTAACTCGTTGTAACAAATAATTTGCCTGCTAATGTCATTTAAGGATTCATTGAGGAAGCCGCATGTATCTTGGGCATACTGGGTTAGGTACTCTCTTTAGATATACACACAAAAAACCTTTCAGTACACAGTGTCTCTGTTTTCTGCTACACCCAACCACTTAACTAGCCAGCAATACATGTTTTTGTCAACACTGCAATTAATTTTATATTTAAGCCAACTAAGAAAGTAAAAAAATTGAGGGAACATATTATTATTTCACAAAATATCGCCGCTATTAAACGTAATGGTTGATCAGTATGTTTAAAATTTTCAATATCACCGTAACCAGCACGTGGCAGCACCCGCTTGAACCAATTGTGTAATCTACTTGTTCATTCAATACTCTGTTACAAAACAATTTTTCATGCATTTTCGTGGTAGGTATGCACATATGTATGTGTGTTTGTATGTATGCCGAGGTAGTTAAGTACTACTACAACAACAATATAAAAACAATGTCAAACCAACGCGCTGAAAATTGAAACACGTCGTCTCATTGCTTAAACAGCCGAGGATTTTGTTGTTTATTTTACTCTGTTTTATAAATTTATTTACAGAAAAAGTATGTATGTAGCTTACTTCGGTGGAAGGAAGGTGGAAAAAATACGTTTTTCCTTTTGTAAATATTATCCTGTCGTAATTGAATTATAAAACCATGCTGCATGCCCTAAAGCGAATTTTTAAGCTCTCGGAAATAAGTTTGCAGTTTAAGTTTATGTAAGTAGACAAATATATATTTTTTTTCCTGACCAATTTGTAGAGGTAAATATCGCTGTTCGTTGTACGTATGTAGTTCAGCATCTCACTGTAATACATGCATATACACTTTTGTGTATACATACATATAAATGTTTGTATGTGCCTATAAAAAAAGATTGCGTGTTTGAGCAATCGTAAAGTCGTTCACAATCATGATTTAATTTATGTATTTAATTCAATCCCCCGAAAGTTTGTTTTTGAAGTGAAACTTCTTCACCTTTTTCTATATCACCAGGGACCGAAAATAACAGTTATTGATGAAAACTGTCATGGAAAAAAATCACTATGGAGGAAATTTTCTACAACTAAGTGATACATACCAATCGATTTCTTTTTTCACCGAGACTCAAATTTGAAAAAAATCGATTTCCAATTTTTATGCAAAATTAAAACAAACAAACAATTACTTTTGATTTTTATTTATAAAAGTCATCAATAAAAATCAGTCAGTGACTTTTACTTTTAAAAGTCATCAATATAAATCAGACGCCGACTTTTATTTTTTTAGTCATTCGTATAGTCATTAACATTTTTCGTAGTTAAGAAGGTGTTGGGAAACAAATGCTTACTACGACTTATACAATTGACTTTTATAAGTAGAATTTAAAAAATAAAGGTCGGTGATTGATTTTTATTTATAACCTTTATATATAAAAGTCTTCGATATCTGTTATCTAAGACATATAATTTAAAAATCAAAAATAACTGTTATTTGCAGATTATTTTGATAAAAATCAAAAATAATTGTTATTTTGAATTTATAAGATAAAAGTCAGAAATAACGGTTTTTCAAGGAGTTATTCACTAAAAGTAAAAAAATAATTGTTAAAGAGCGGTTTTTTTAATAAAAGTTGTCACAGTGCAACAATCAAAATGGGATCAGAATTAGACCAATTTCATTCATTTTGGGGTTGGTAAAATGTGAATAAGTACCTGAAGATTTATAAGAGTTTCTTACCATGACTTTATATCGATTTGAAGTGATAGACCTAAAGTCCTAAAATGGACAAGTAAAATTTTTGCATATTTTTGTGTTTTTTTTCACAAACCGATTTTAAATTAAATAATAGAATTATTTACTAAGTGAAATATGTAACTGTTTTAAATAAAAATAAAATAAAGTTACTTTGAATTGAACTTTGATAATAAAAACTTATTGAAAACAATTTTAGGGTTTCCCCAAACCGTAGAAAAAATTTAAATGTTATAGAAAATTTACACAATTCTTAAAAATACCAACCGATTCGTTCCATTTCAAGACAACCGGCAAGTTATGGGCATGAGAGCCGTGTTTTTTTTTTTGCTTGCAAAAAACTTCTTGACTAACATATTTATGTATAAGCTATTTTGTTTTTTAGATAAAAATCGATAAATGGGGAATTTTTTTCTAACTTTGTTAAAAATTAATGGATTCCAACCATTTTTTCACTCAAATATTAGTAATTGTTATCACTTTAAGACAAAAGGTTAAAATTATCAATTTATATTTTTATAAATTTTTTATGAAATTTTCTTCGCAACTAAATTTTGCAAAAACTATATTTTTTTTCTTTCATACTTTTTCACGAGAAAATAGGCTGAATCCCTAGAAGCAATTGTTTTTATATATGTATGATTTTTTTAGAAAAAATACCTACATTTTTGAGGTACATAGTGCAATGTAGTCAATAATTTTCACACATGAAGCACTAGGTGCCAGCAAAAGTAAATCGAGCAAGCAAGCAAAATTTATCATTTTGTGTTAG